TCAAATTTGAAAAGCAACTTATCTGCAGACAACGACTGCCCCCTCAATAGCACAAACAGACAATGTGCATTATCAGAAACAGACGATGAAGAGGATGTTCCATTAGCACAGTTACTCCCTGTGCACAACATGGCAGAATTAAGCGATATAGATAGCTCTGGGATTGATGAAACATATCACCCTGCATCATCTTCAGATTCTGATTCCAGTGAGTCAAGCATACTGGTAAGGGATTCTAGGAAAAGAATAAGAAGCAGCCCTGTAAAGTTCAGAAAGCGACAGAAGAAAAGCCCCAGTCGAACCTCAGCATCAACCAGTTGTGACATTCAAGCAAGTACGTCTTCCACATCCTGCAAAAACGATTATATGCAAAGAGCTCAACAAACAAGTGCTGAAATGCAAAATCTGCTTATTCTTGCCAGAAGATTTCACAACAAGAGACTTGACCTTCTCCTCAACAGCAATGAGTTACAAGTGTCAGCAGTACCACCAGACGGAAATTGTTTTTTTGCTGCAGTAATCGCAAGTTTGCAAGACACGTCTGATCCACAGTCTTTGCGAGAAAGAACGTGCGAACATCTCCTTGACAATTATGAAAATTATATGGGTTTCCTTGCCACAGGGCAGTTAGATAAAGAAGACCAATTCACTCTCTTTAGACACGAGGTGAACAAAATATCAGGGAATGGGAGTTGGAAATGTCCAATCGGAGATTGTCTGCCATTGGCTATTGCCAATATGTTTCAGCGGCCGGTGAGGATTTTTTCAAGCAGTGTCTCCACACCTGTCCAATATGTGGAACCGGACATAGCACTGAGTAAAGATAGCTGCCTCAGTCTTGGCTATATTGCTGTACGCGGTGAGGAACATTACGAGGGCATAGTTCCTCTTAAAGTAACCCCTGCAATCCCCAGAGAAGACCATGGAAACTCAAGTGGAAACATGTAAAGTCACAACATCTACATCAGTGCCATCCCCGGTTGTAACTCCTCACAAAAGGGCTGACTACAGAAGCCCCAAGAAAAGGCCTTCAAGTAGGAAGAAGCTCAAAGCTCCAGAACTATGGAAGAAAAATATCAGGAAGGCAAAGCGCTGCAGAGGGCAAGCCTATGTATCCTGTAGAGGGAAACTAGTAGAAGAAAAGCACGTGCAAGATATCAGTTGTGATAGGTGTCGTTTTGGGTGCTCCAAAAACATAGATTCGGAAACAAGGCAGGCAATCTTTGAGAATTATTACCAACTACCATCCTATGAAAGGCAAAGAAGTTTTGTGTGTCAGATGGTGGATTCCTTGTCACCGGTAAGGTCAAAGGGGAAGAAAACAACTTCTCGACAGTATCATTTTGTCTATGAGGAGAAGAAGATTCGTGTGTGCCGGGACTTTTTTCTTGCAACACTCAATATTGGGAGGAAGGTTGTGTGGATCATGCATTGAAAATGAAAAGAACATGGTGTGTATACAGGCGAAGACAGAAGAGGTGTCACTGCATCTGGGAACAAAATTGACCTTGAAACAATAAACAACATAAGACGGCATATAACCTCCTTTCCACAAATGGAATCACACTATGCGCGGAAGGACACTGTGAAAAAATATCTCTCGCAGGACTTAAATATAAAGAAAATGCACATGCTTTACAAGCAAAAATGTCAAGAATCAGGTTCAAACTATGTCAAGGAGAGCAAGTATAGAGAAATCTTCTGTACAGAATATAATATTTCATTCTTTAAACCGAAAAAGGATCAATGTTCAAAATGCAGTCTGTATGAGGGAAAGAAATTGGCTGGTACCATTGACAACGAAGAAATTCTCAGTAAGTATGAGGAACATCAGAAGGACAAGGTAGAAGCCAGAAATGAAAAAGAACGAGACAAAGTCGAAGCCAAATTAAATAAAGCCCACTATGTGGCAACGTTTGATTTGCAAGCTGTTCTAAATACTCCATGCAGTCTTGTTGGGGAGCTGTATTATGCAAGAAAATTGTCTGTCTATAACCTTTCCTTCTACTCTCTTGGGGACCAACAAGGAACATGTCACCTGTGGGATGAAACAAATGGAAAAGAGGGGCCAACAGAAATTGCCACATGCTTATTAAAAAACACCTCTTCCGTATGTCAATCGAACAAAAATGTGAAGGAAGTGACATATTTCTCGGACTCGTGTGGCGGCCAAAATCGAAACCAATTTGTTGCAGGCTCCTTGCTCTATAGCCTTTCAAAAAATTCAAATTTACACAAATTAAATCACAAATTTCTGACATCAGGTCATTCTCAAATGGAATGCGATTCCATCCATTCAGCTATTGAAACAGCTAAGAAAAGAACCCAGGTATTTGCACCTGTGCAATGGAGCACGGTGATATCTCTGGCCAGGGGAGGTAAGAGATATATTACCATTCCATTGAAATTCGGAGATGTTCTTGATTTCAAGGAATTTGTAAAATGTTCCTATCAAATATGAAGATCTCGGTTGGAGGAGAGTGAATCAACTGGCTGAAGATCAAATGGATTCAAGTCCGACGGGAAGCTGTGAACTCAATCTTTGTCAACTATGGTTTTCAGGAGGATGACTTCCTGGAGATCAAAGGTTATCTCAGGGACTAGGAGGAAATCTCAAACAGCAGCGCTAATGACAAGAGCTCCAACACCTGCTTACAATTCCAAGCTGTCAATTTCTGTTGCAAAGAAGCAGGATTTGTTAACTCTGTGTGGAAAAGAAATTATCCCGACAGAGTTCCACCCTTACTATGAATCTCTACCAACATCAGCAACATCTGTTGATCGGCTTCCGGGGCCTGCCAGCGATGAGGAGTGGGACGATTAGGACTATTAGTGACAATCATGTAGCAAGAGACTAATTATGAGGCCATTTCAGTGATTGCCAAATACAATGTATTAAATCCGTAACCAATTTATGTAACATAGTCACTTTATGATTTCTGTAACAATATATTCACTTTGATGTTTTGTATTATAAGAAATTCAAATAATATGTATCAAGTCAAACTGAATGGAAAGCATGGCATTTCAATCGCTGCAAAATAGTTTAGTTTGGAATAAAAAGTATCATGTCTTATTTTTATTTTTTATTGTGTTAATATGGTAAATAGTTTTATCTTTATAAAACTTGAAGGTCTGTTTTTCATATTGTGCCCAATATTTTACATCGCAATTAATTAATACAATGATAGCATCTGAGATATGTAATAGATAAAAAACAAATCGCACATTTTCACCAAACAGATATACGATTGACAAGTTAAGGTTGACAATACGTAACAATATGATTTTCTAGACAAACATATTTCATTAACATCACCGGCAGCAGTTTGCTAAGTGTCAAATTTCCATATTAAATAGATATAGAGTCAAATGCTTATGTAACAATGAATCCTGTGTCATTAGGTACTCCTTAAGTCAAACTTTATGGCATAAATGCTACGGGCAACAAGGTACCAAGCGTCACTTGGCACATTGCAACACTATCTTTACTGTGCAATGTTCGTGCAGCAAAGAACCAAATGCCACTTGGCACATTGCAACCCTATATTTACTGTAAACTGGTTTGTGCAGCAAAGAACCAAGTGCCACTTGGTACATTGCAATTCAAAAATGACTGTATAAATGTTTGGGGCAGCAAGGTACCAAGTGCCACTTGGTCCTTTGCAGCTCTGAAACTTACGTTGAACATTGGTGAAATGTTGGGGCAGCAAGGTACAAAGTGCCACTTGGTACCTTGCTGTCCGGAATGTTTGAACAAATTCTCTTCATTCAAAGTGTACCATCTACAATAATTGATGTAATTAAGAAATTAAGGCTTCATTAGGAATGGCATCAGAGCATTTGATACATTCACACCACCTCTATTGAACATGTATGTATTGGTTAAGCTAAGATATACAGAGCAACAGATATGGTCATTGAAAACTTCAAATGCGATTTTCTCAGAATGATGAAATATGCACTTGGTACCTTGCTGCTCCAAACCCTCGATATATGTGTGTGTGTGTGTGTGTGTGTGTGTGTGTGTGTGTGTGTGTGTGTGTGTTCTTCATAAAATATATACGACTACATATGCATTTTCCAAAGAATGATGATCATGATGTTGATCACTGGATTGTCTGGTCCAGTCTCGATTATTTACAGACCGCCGCCATATAGCTGGAATATTGCTGAGTGTGGCGTTAAACAACAAACCAACCAACCAATACAAATAGAGAAAACAAAAACGCAACCATCATAATTATTTTTACGACATGTCGTAGACATACCGTACATGTTTATGGCATGAGTTCATGAGGTTAACCTCTTGCCGACAGCTGAAACAAAGCAACGAATAAGCTACGGCTCTTAATGTCATGGACAATAGGGACAAAGTGCCTATGCCCACTGGCGTATGTGAAAACCATATAATATATGCAAGGCATTAATAGCTTAGGTTAGGGATTTATCTTTGTTGGTGTCAGGACTTTTAAAATTTATTATTTTGAAACATTTGGCCGGTAGGAAGATTAAAAAAAATATGAAATGATTTGCATTCACCATCAAGTGTGATTTTGTCTGGTATGGTGATAATGTATTTATTTTTAATTTATGTTTTTTTCTGTCACATAAATCCCAAGGATATTTTTGTTGTTATATCGATCTTGACTGTATTGCACGCAGTATAAAGAAGAAGAAGAAAAAACAAAAATAACCTTTTTGAATACAAAATTACACACACGTGGGCGAGCAGGCATACACACAAAGGCAGGCAGACAGACACACACACACACACACTGACACAATTTCTACATTTATTGTGCAATTATCTTTTAAAAATATAACCCACAATGACCGCTCACAATGACGATAACAATATATTATGCAGCGATAGCATTTTATAAGAGGACGCTTGCGATTGGTTGCATCGAATTGCCCCTTGTTTCACATCCCTCAATGACAATCACACAACAGACATTTTTTGTTGGCCACAGGCGAATGGCTGCGTTATAGCGAGGAGCCTATGTTTACATATCTTACCTGTCCAAACCTGACACTGTCGCCCGGAACTGGATGACAAGCGAGTGTCATTGGCCATGCGCTGTACCGCCTGAGCAACAGTCACAAGATATTTCGCAGAAAACGGCAATAAACGGATATAAGGATTTTCACCAGAACACTAGGCTAGTTAATTCGCTCGACTCCACACGCATCTGATGAACATGGCGTATTTGTTGAACCCGAAGTGTTTTATTCCACTGGCTTTGTTGTGCCTCGGCTTTGGGGGCGTTTTCGTCAAAGGTAAGTGCGATGGATTTCCGTGTGATTTGCCTGCTGTCTGTAGTGCTCGACATGACCAGTACGTTTCTGAAACCCCAAATAATATACAGTTATGTGTTTATTCATTCATGTTTCGCATTAGTTAATTTGATTCGGTGTCAAGTGATTGAAAGATTTCTGCTCGCTGAGGCAGACGACACATTCCTCATCAACACTTGTCTGATGGATGACGCCGCCTCTCTTCGTGTTTTCCGTTGTGTGGTGCAATATTGTCTCAATGAATGATTAAGAAGGCACAGTTCTGAGTTTATTGACCAATTTATCCGATTCTGTACATACAGTTTGAGTACACTGTACAGTATATGAAGTCGTTCCAGTGTCCTCGTTGCGATGTTAAGTTTGTAATATACTCACTCGGGTACATTTTGTTAGAATTTCTTTTGAAAAACAATAATAAAAAATAATAATATTCCATACGTTCAGATATACCTCTATTTTACATACATTTGCTTTTGATATATTTATTTTATTTTATAATATATTAATTTTACTTATTTGTTGTTTTTGGAGGGGGTGGGTGAGTGGGTGATTTAAGGGGAAGTCTATACATGAATTACTGATACCAATACACAATACACAAAGTTTATACTTATGATGTATGGTACCCGTAAAGATACGGGTTAGAATTTATCTTCAGTAACCTATGCTTGTCGTAAGAGGCGACTTGAATAAACCTCTCTCTCTCTCTCTCTCTCTCTCTCTCTCTCTCTCTCTCTCTCTCTCTCTCTCTCTCTCTCTCTCTCTCTCTCTCTCCTCTCTCTCTCTCTCTCTCTCTCTCTCTCTCACTAACGGGATCGGGTGGTCAGGCTCGCTGGCTTGGTTGACACGTGTCATCGTAACCCAATTGCGTAGATCGATGCTCATGCTGTTGATCACAGGATTGTCTGGTCCAGACTCGATTATTTTCAGATCGCCGCCATATAGCTGGAATATTGCTGAGTGCGGCGTAAAACTAGACTCACTCACTATGATGTATGGGGATGACACACATTGTTGGTTGGAATGAGTGAGTGAGTATGGTTTTACGCCGCTTTTAATAATATTCCAGCAATATCACAGCGGGGACGCCAGAAATGGGCTTCACAAATTGTACACATGTGGGGAATCGAACCCGGGTCTTCGGCGTGACGAGCGAACGCTTTAACCACTAGGCTACCCCAACGCCACTGGAACACTGCAATGCGCAGTGAACGAATATATGTGTAACCGGATAGATAATTTTAACCTTGGTTGGAGGAAATAAATAAATATATGTTTGAGATGACCACCGACTCGAAATGCTTCACAGTACAATAAATCATGTCAAGCGTCATCGTGTATTTTACTGTGAAGCATTTCGAGTCGGGGTCATCTCAAATTTGTATATATTTTTAAAAAATCTTTAATCCTCGCAAATACACGAGGGCCTGTGTACAGTGATAGTAATATGCGTTGTAGAGACTGCTGTATATTATTTGAAATACGGTCCTGTCACAAGCAAATATCTTTGTATCTGTAACCCAGCGATAGATGTAGACAATGCTTAGGTTCATCGACATCTACTGATAACGTTGCTAAATAGGAGGTAAGTAGGTTCTTGTGTTGGTCTGTCTCACTGACCCTGAACCCATCATTTACCTTCCGCCCACCTCTTCTGCAGTGCAAAGCCTTAAGCCCTAAATGAAGCAGCAAGTGTAGAATTAACTCATGTTCTGAATACAGGACGGTGGGGGGGGGTGGGGTGGCATAGTGGTTAATGTGTTCGCTCGTCACGCCGAAGACCCATGTTCGATTCCCATGTGGGTGAAATGATATGATAACAATATCATGATAACAGCTCATTATATAACGGAGAAAACGGTGTTCTTCATAAGATATATACTACACACACACACACACATTTTAAAAGTAGTCTTAGACACGCGCCTTTTCGCACTTTCCTCAGATATGCTATTCAAAACAAGTTGAAGACCACCCAATTATTGTCCTGTTACTAAATGTAATATGTAATATTACATCGGATGGTCATTAACTTGTTCTCAGTAGTAGTGTAAGTAAAAACCGCGAAGAAGTCGAACAGAGCGATCTAGCGATAACAGGTTACCAACCTCCTCCTGTAACCGGCGGTGGGGTAGCCTAGTGGTTTAGGCGTTCGCTCGTCACGCCAAACACCCGGGTTTGATTCCCACCATGGGTACAATGTGTGAAGCCCCGTCGTGATATAGCTGGAACAATGATAAGCGGCGTAAAACTAAACTCACTCATCTCTTGTAACTAAATGTAACCATATTTTGCAGATAGAGATTTTGTATTTGACGTTTTTATATGTTTGGAATAAAATGGAGGTGTCTTATCTAGAATTAGTAAAATGGGATTTCAATTGTTGGCGATATTCTTGCTGTATAGCTGGTTATCGTGTCGCCAAGAATGCTACTCACTTAAGAAATCGATAGAGGTATATTTTGGCGAAGTCATCGATTATTATCAACACGCGGAAAAGGTTAATGAATCAAAGATGCTTAAAGAACGTTACTGACAATATAAAACCCATTTTATAAGAATATCATCATAATGTCGCCAGTGTAGGTTCCCAGACCGAGTCTAGCTAGGTGATGCTAATCAGGAGAAATGGAAAAATACGTAGTGAACTTCCACCACGTGGCTTGGTCTCGCTAACCTAAACCTTCCAGAACGTTCTTGGATGAGTCTGTGTTACCAGCTGAAGCTGAGATCAGCGCTTGAGGTTGGAACATCGATCGGTTTCCTTGAACGACTACTCCGTGTCACTAGCAGGTGGTATGTGACGTACGGATACTTACACTCCACTCACACCTGTCTGATGCATTCGTCACTAACAGGATTAAATTAACACACCTTTCTACCGTTAGAAGTTCCAAAGAAAGACAGACATATACTCCCTTACAGTGGCTCTAGTTTTCATATCTGAACCTTGTCTTCGGATGTTTTTGATTTCCCGTACTTAAATAGATGTGAACTACATACGCACACGCACACAGACACACACGCACACGCACACGGACACACACACGCGTGCACAAACATTTTTGGTCTAGTGTCCAGTGGATAGAGCGTTTGTCCGAACACGAACAGTGGTTCGATCCCCGGACCAACGCGACCAGAAGACGGTTAAAAGACGTTCCGTGCTGATTCTCGGCATAACAGGGGTTGAAATAACCCATTGCCCGACGTCCGAGTCCAGTGTTTTTTCTGTCGGGCAAGCAAATTTGTATATGATGCTGTACCGGTGTCCAGTTGACTTTCCGATGGTAATTATGTTGTTTATTTAAAAAATCAACGAGAAAATGGCCGGTATAGTGAAAAAATTATCAGGGCAAGTGATTTTACATGTGCCACTGTACCGGAGTACACTACCAATTTTAAAAATTATTTCCACCCTGCATAAAGGGATAAACAGTATTTGTCTGCTCCAAGGCTGTATATAGTTTCATCAGAGGAGTATCCATGTTTATCTGCCCAATGGTATCTCAGTAGGTTAGCAATATAAAACCGGCATTAATCTGGATTAGTTCAAGCAAACGCATGCACGCGTACACATATACACGTTAAAGTAACAAGCCAAGTAAACAAGTGCACTTGATATGTACTAAAGACGTCTAATATTAGGTGTGTTTGTTTGTTGTTTAACACCTTATTCATGGCAGTGTGTAGATGATCGAGACATGCACGAGCTCGTTTCTAAGGTATTGAGATGGGATGACATTCAAAGTCAAAGTCAAAGTCAAAGATCTTCATTATACATGAAGGCCACCGGCCCATATGCAGTATTTATGAATTTGCATAGATTTAATAATGCTTCATTTGAGCAGAAGTTAACAGGCTTTTGAATATAAATATATTTGGAATGCGGTTGTAAATATGTGGAAAATAAGATAATCTTTCTTCAGAATAATATTTGCATACTGAAAGAAAATGGAATTCATCCTCTATACCGAATTTACAAACAGGACATGTGCGTAGAGATGCATCAATATTTAACCATCTTCCTTCGTTTATTTTTAATCGTAATAGGCCTGCTCGGAATTTTATAAGAATATTACGATATTTGTTTTCATGTATAACACTTAAATATTTTTCAGGTTCTAGTAAACTCTTACATTCTCTATACAAATTGTAGCGTGAACTGTTGTCGAGAGAACAATGCCCAGATTGGTAAAAGATATTTACACGTACATCTTTAAAACATCTAAGAAAATCAACCTTATTGCCTACACTTTGTGCTAACCATACAAAGTATATTATGAATATGAGAAGCATAATTATTTTGCCCAATGTTATCTAAATATTCTGACATGTCATATGATTTTTTGGGTATTCTACCAGAGTGCATTTCTGTAAGTTTTGACCAAGATGTTATAACTCGACATAAGGCATTTATGGGTTGATAAAGGCAGTTATATACCTGATCTTCATAGGGGACTGTCAGTAGTAAATACTATATACACTGGCTTCCGTCCACAAAAAGTTAACAAAGCCACATTCAACTTCTCTCTCCTTCCCAGAGCTCCATTGCGGCAAGTGCCTCGCTCGTCACACCGAAGACCCGGGTTCGATTCCCAACATGGGTTCTGTCTGTGAAGCCCATTTCTGGTGTCCTCAGCCATGATTTTGCTGGAATATTAATTAAGGCGCTTGCCACGCACCTGGACTATTGCTAAGTGCGGCGCTGAACAAACAAAACCAATCCAATCTAAAAGCGACCTATGGTTTGGCATGAAATGCATGTGGACCCGTTTTTTTGTAAATATCTCTTCATCCAGTGATCCAATCGATCTCAAACTGTGCAAGTGGATGTTTTGTCAGACAACCTAATCACATTGTAAATCACCGATTTTATGCATTGGTATTAAAGAATCTGTCTATGTAACTGTCAACAAAATAAACAGCAGAACGCAGACGGCTTGCAGAGGGAGGGAGCCAATGACCTGGAACAGCGGCAGTGT